GGCAGCTGCCATCTAAGTGGCTGATCTCAGCACCATTTTCACAGTCTGCATTTGAAGTTTAAAGTATCTGCACCGTCACTGTGCCTCCACTATTAGGGGCTCTGCTTACAAGTGACAACTAAACACCCAAGTGTTGTGGTGGTTTCAGCAGGGCCTGGGCTCTCTGTTTTTGGGTGGGTGGAGTGGATTGGGATGAGACTGGGTTTGAATTTAGGACTACAAATTTGGGAAGCAGGCGCTGTACCGCTTGAGACACGCCTCTGGTCCGTTTTGCCCTTCTTGTTTTGGAAATGGGGTCTTGGGAACTATTTGCCTGGGTTGGCTTTGAACTCACTATCGACCTGCCTCCTCCTCCAAGTAGCTAGGTTTAGACATGCACCTCTCACTCGGTCCCTCTCTCTACCCTTCATGGCTCTACAACCCAGTGGCCTGAAGTCTACAGTAACAGCTTACCACAAACTAGGTGGCTCTAGCTGTTTCTGTAGGTCTGCAGTTTGGCACTGCACAACTCATTCCATGTTCATGGTCTCGCTGGACTCAAGTCAAGGTACTGGTTGGGGCAGAAGTTCCTGTCTATGCCTGAGTTCTCTTCCAGAACCTCTAGCTGGTACGATTCATTTCCTTTGCTCTCCATGTGACCCCTCCACCCTCTGGTATAGGTAACTTTTTTTGTATGATACCAAGGTTTGAACTCGGGGCCTACAACCACTCCACCAGCCTTGTTTTGTAATGGATTTTTTTGAGATGGGGTCTTGCAAACTATTTGCTCAGGCTGGTTTTGAACCTTGATCCTCCTGATCTCTGCCTCCTGAGTAGCTAGGATTATGGGCATGAGTCACTGGTACCCTGTGGTCACTTGTTTTTGTTTTTTAGCAGTATTAGGGTTTGAATTCAGGGCTTCACACTTGCTACACAGGCATTTTACACGTGAGCAACTCCACCAGCCCTTTTCGGTGTTGTTTTTTTCAATTTTATTTTTTGGTGGTACTAGGGTTTGAACTCAGGCAGGGCCTCACACTTGCGAGGCAGGCACTCTACCACTTGAGGCACTACACCAGCCCGCCACCCTGCCTCCTGTCTTCTGCTTTTAAGGGTCTGTGGAATCACACTGACATCCCCAGGCAATCCAGGACAGCACCATCTTGTAAAGGCTCTTTTACTGCTGAGTGCAATGCACTTACAAATGTAACCCTGGAGAGGGGGGCCACAAGCCTGTCCCCACCCTCCCCTTGGGATCTTATACAGCTTCCAAAGCAAAATGCCCATCACAGGAAAGACTGGTGGGGAGTGGCTCAAGTGGTAAAGCGCCTGCCTAGCAAGCATGAGGCCCTGAGTTCAAACCCCAATACCACTAAATAGAAATAGATTTGCTTATTTCAGAAGCAATGTCCATATTCTGATTGTCTCAGTAGACATGTCTCACTAGATCAAGACCTACCAATCAACACAATGACAGCATCTGACCTAAGAATACTTTCAATAAAAATGGCAATCAAATAAGAGCCATCCCATAGATGAACTATGTTACCAAATGTAAGCAAAATGTTATTTGTGCAATGGAGGTGGTGAGTATAAGAATTTTTTTCTGGAGGCCCGGGGTTTGAACTCAGCCTTCTGCTCACCACATAGGTGCTATACCACTTGAGACACTCCTCCAGCCCTATTCTTTTTTTTTGCACACTTGAAAATTTTCAAAATGAAACATTAACTATATGGCAATAAAGCCATGGGCACCAAAGCCAAGGCCACGTCACCTTTCCCATCCTCAGATCAGATGCACTCAGGCCGCACCATGGCTTCTCATGCAAACGCCGTCTCCCTGCTCGACTCCTTGCACACGTAACCATCTCCTACATAGTTGAATTCTACCTTGTTTGAAAAATTCCTTCCCTCTGCCCAATTCTACTGCATGACCTTGTATGGTGCCATCTGTATTTTAGGTGTTACAGCAGGCTGGGTCTTTTCTAAATTACAATGTTTTTCTTCACCTTATAATTTTTAATAATAAAACTAAAAAAAGCTGACTTTCAGATACAGATATTATAGATGAAGTGACATGATGCCTAAAACATACTTTTACCTGCCGGGTGGGGAGTGATGTGGATGAAACAAGAGTGGCCGTAACTGGGAGGCAGCTGAGAGCTCAGGCCTAATGGTTCCGTCTTTCTTTTTGCAGTGCTGGGGACCCCAGGGCCTCACACAGGCTAGGCAAGCACTCTGCTGCTAAGCTGCATCTCCAGCCCTTTGCTCTACATTTGTGTTAAGTTCATTATTAGGAAACAAAAGGGCTGCTGGTGTGGCTCAGGTAGTAGGGCACCTGCCCTACCAAGTGTGAGAGCCTTAGTCCAAACCCCAATGCTGCCTAAAACCCAAACCAAAAACACATTCCTAGGGGCACAGTAGACAGTAAATAACTACACTATCAAAATGAAATAGGTATTTGAATCAAGTAGAAAACTGTAGAAAAATGTTTTCATTCAAGTGATTCACCCAAAGGAAGGTCTGTGATCATTTTGCCCTCTCGCTAGCTTTGCTTCTGAAAACATCGTGTCACAGTTACAAGCCTGACTCTCAGTTAAACTTCAAAATGTATGCCAAGAGAATTCAAGCAGACTGAATTTTCTACCTTACCCTGCCTTGTAATTCATAGGTTTTGGTTTTCTTTTTGCTGTACTGGGGTTTGAACCCAGGACCAACACCTTGAGCCACTCAGCTAACCCTGTTTCGTGAAGGGTTTTTTTCTAGAATAGGGTCTCTTGAACTATTTGCCTGGACTGGCTTTGAACCTCGATCCTCCTAATCTCTGCCTCCTAAGTAGTTAGGATTACAGGTGTGAGCCACTGGTGCCAGCTTAGCAGAAGTTCTTTGTAGAATTTCAGCTACTAGGTGCAGAACTGACAGACTATCAATGGTTGGCAAGTGAAATCCAGATCGGGCAAATGTCACTAACGGCAGCTGAACAGTTAGGGAAAAGGAATTTATATAGTGGGTGCTGGTATAAAAAACCTACCATATATTTTTTTTTCTTTTTTTTCCCCCGAGACAGTTTTACTATATAGCTCAGGCTGACCTGGTTTCGCTATGTAGCCCAGGCTGGCCTCGAACTCACAACTCTTTCTCAGTCTCCCAAGTGCTGGGATCACAGGCATGCACAGGCACACCCAGCTTCCACCGTCATTCTTGACAGAATGAAAAATCCAAAAAGCCCTCAAGATCTTCCAGATAGTATAATAAGGAGGGGACAGAACTTAAAACAGCACCATTAGGATGCATTCTGTACAATCCGTACCTAGGGATAATTCTACAGGACAAACAACTCAAGTTTTTCAAAACTTACAAGAAAAACAGGGAAGTGAGATACTAACAAAATACTAGATACAGATTTTGTCTGTATCCTGACTCAAGCCAACCATTTAAAAAAAAAAATAAGCTGGGCACCGGTGGCTCACACCTGCCAGCCCAGGCAAATAGTTCAGGAGACCCTATCTAGAAAAAAGCCCATCACAAAAAAGGGCTGGTGGAGTGGCTCAAGGTGTAGTCCCAGTACCACATAAATAAATGAATGAATAAAATAAAATAAAATAAATATCCTGAGGGCTGAGGGTATAGCTCAGTGGAGTGTTTGCTTAGCATGCATAAGGCCCTGGGGGTTCAATCTCCAGTACCAAAGATAATTAAAACAAAAAAAATTATACCAACAAAATTAGTAATAACTTATTAACACAATATCCAGTCCATATACCCTTTTGTAAAAAACCTCATACCCTTTTTGTAAAAATTTAAGCAGTGCAAATAAATTAGGTCAAAACAAAAAATATTAAACTCTGTTCAGGTGGAATGATGGCCATTGGTTAAAAAAATTAAGAGAAAATCAGGAAAATTTGAACACTGATCTATCATGTAATATTAAAAGATGTTTTGGCTGTCTTCTTAAGACAATGGTATTGTTGTTCTGTTTTAAAAAGCGTCAAAAGAGACATACTTAAGTATGCACAAAGGGCTGGCGGGGCGGAGTGGTTCAAGTGGTAAGATAACCTACCTAGCCAGTACTGCAGGCCCTGAGTTCAAACCCCAGTGCTACCAAAAAAAAAAAAAAAAAAAGTTAAGTATGCACAAGAATGTGGGGAGGGCACACAGGGCCTCATCAAACTAGCATTATTTTTATTTTTGTGTATTTGTGAGAATTTCAACAAAATACTTTTTAAAAACTGAGTTTTGTTTTGATATAGTTCTACTATAAAACATCAAAAATTTCCTTGTTTAATGAAGTCTTCCAGGAAGAAAAAAGAATTTTCTGAAGGACTTTTAACTATTATTACATTAACTTAAATCTTCCAAGTTACTTAGTAACTGACAAATCCAGTTTTCAAAAGACTACACATTTCTGCATGTCACTGCTTCAATTGGGAGTTTTAAGCTAGAGCAGAGCGTTTGGTAAATTGCACATGCATCCCAGGTAAGGCATAAGGGCTCTGGGTAAGATTTAGCTCCATTGCTCTCTGTCTACTAGTTCTATGGGTTTTTGCAAGTCATGTAATTTCCATTACCCCCAGGCTCCACGCCTATAAAGTGAGGGTAAAAACAATTTGTTGATCAGCAAAGCACAGGGGTGGCACATGGTAATTGCTCATAAAGGATTCCAGTAATTCCACTTCCCCACTCCAGTCTCTCTTTTTGGCAGTACTGGCGCTCCACTGCTTGAGCTGCACCTCCAGTCCCCTCAGTCTTAAATGTACCTTTTCTCATACTCTATATAGAAGTGTAGCTCCTCATCGACGATGGTTAAGTCAGATTTTCTCATGGTATGTGGCAAGGCAGCAGTGCATCAGTACAAACTGACAGCAGCTAAGATTCAACATGCAACATGCTATCAATTGTTGTAAGCTGTACTTCCAATTTCTGTTTTAAGATATTCTGTGAAACTAATTTGACACTTAAAATATTTCAAAGTCTAAGCAAAATATTTCTAATCCATCATGAACAGAATAGTTGGAGACAAATTAATTTTGTAAAAAATGCTTTATCAATTCCGTTTTTGTATAAAACACAGGGGAGAAGCCTGGCCAATGAACGCACGCCGTTACCACATGAAAAGGTTCTTTATCAAACTTGGAGTCTAAGAACATACAAATGCTTCTTTCTTTTCTCGTGTCTACAATAATTGTCTATGCTTTTCCATTTAGCTGTTTAAAAAAATTCCACATATCCCCACTGTTATCTTCTGTCCCAGTTACAGTACAGTGACGGGCGGCAGAGGGTGAGACAATCCTCTAAGCAGTCTTCTGCTGTCCCTTCTTTCCAATCAGAGATTTGTGGATGTGAGGAATCACCCCTGGAATGTAATTAAAAGAGCAGTTATTACCAAACACTGTTGTAGCTGGCTCCATCTTCATTACAGAGGACGAAATTTATTCTAGCCCAGGTTCATATTCAGACTCTGTTAGTACCTACATGGAGGCTTCCCCTCTACACTGTGTGTAGAACTGTGATTCTCTGTGCACCTCTAGAGAAGGGGGACTATAGTGTCTGAGTTCTACAGGATGACCCAAGGCAGCTCAAGAACCTTCAACTCACCCCTCACTGGTCCTGATTACTTTTACTATTTAAGCCCTTTTGAGGCTCTCGTGTTCACCTATTTCTCAAACAGTTTAAAAGGCATGGAGAAGTATTTTAAACATTAGGCTTAAAATATCACATATGAAATTTAGACAAAAAACTTGGCAAAATAAAAATAGCAACATATATGATACAAGCAGAACAAGTATTTATTGAGGTCATTATGAAGAGAAGGCTAGGGGGTTGGGGATGGTACCCTGCTTGCCTAGCATTCATGAGGACCTGGGTTTGATCCTCAATAACCTCCCCCCACCCAAAAAAAGCCTAGAATTGTAGCACTCTAACACTTGTGGGGTTAACCACTCAAATGCACAGGACCACTGATCTGAATGATACACCATAATACACACCACCCCCGGCTATGGTGGCCTTGATAAGAGAATCCAACTCTTCGTCACCACGGATCGCAAGCTGCAGGTGACGTGGAGTGATGCGCTTTACTTTGAGATCCTTGGAAGCGTTTCCTGCCAGCTCCAGCACCTACGAGGACCCGGAGATAAACGTCAGATGAAGCACAAACTGCGTAAGGTTTCAATGCAGGTGCCCAGCTACACCTAACATGTCACTCAAGCACCGCACACACCCCAACATGCGGACCATACATTTTCTTATAATGCTCCTGCATTTGACACCCCCTCTTTACTTTGAGGTACTTAAAATAATTTCTTTTTTTTGCCGTACTGGGGTTTGAACTCAGAGCCTTCACCTTGAACCACTCTACCAGTCCTTTTTGGTGAAGGGGTTTTCAAGAGTGGGTCTTTAGAACTGTTTGCCCTGGCTGGCTTTGAACTGCAGTCCTCCTGATCTCTCTGCCTCCTGAGTAGCTGGGATTATAGCTGTGAGTCACCATACCCAGCTGATGTTGCGCTTTTATTGATTTTTACTTTTTATTTAAAAAAAATTTTTTTTTATTAGGATATATTCATTATGGGGGTGGGAGTGTTGAGCTTTTAAAACCATTACCTGACTCCACTATCCCCAGGGACTCTGACCAGTCTGGGATGTTTTTAAAGCTCTCTAAATGGTTCTAGTGAAAGCCAGGATGGAAAAGCAATTACCTTTGGCCTAAAGTTTTGGCTTAGGTTTCAGTATGTGAAATGACTACTAGATGACTAAAACTCCAAATTTAAGTATCTGGAATTATATGACTACTTTAAAAATGTATTATTTAATCCCTCCCCCACTTCTGGTGCTGGGGACTGAATCCAGGGTCTCAGGTATGTTAGGTACATACCTACTGCTGTGCTATCTAACCCTAACCTACAAAAATTCACCAGGCAGGCATGGTGGAGCAGTATCTGTGATCCCAGCTACCCAGGAGGCTGAGGTAGGAATATCCCAAGTACAGGCAGGCCTGAGCAATTCAGCAAACTCTGTCTCAAAAAAAAAAAAAAAAAGAGAAGACATTAGGAGGATTGTGGTTCAAGGCCAGTTCAACAAAAAAAGAAAAAAAAAAAAAGCAAGATCTTATCTTAAAAAACAAGCTGGTGGCCATATGTGGTGGCTCATGCCTCAAATCCCACCTACTTGAGAGAGGAAGATCAGGAGGACCTCAGTTCAAGGCCAGACCAGGCAGAACGTTAGTGAGGTCCTAGCTCAATCAATAATAAACTTCGCATGTTGCTGTTTGCCTGTGATCCCAGCTACATGGGAGGCTATAGGTAGGAGGATCACAGTCTGAGGCTGGCCCCAGGCAAAAACTCAAGCGCCTACCTGAGAAATAACTAAAAAGCAAAGAAGGGCTGAAGGGCTCAAGTTGTTGAGCACTGTCTAGCAAATGCAAGGCCCTAAGTTCAAACCTCCCTCAAAAAAGAAAAACCAAACTAGGCATAGGAGTGCACCTGTAATACCAGCTAGATGGGAGGTGGAGGTAGGAAGACTGGAGGTCCAAGGCCAGCCAGGGAAAATGCATGAGATCCTATTGGGAAAATAACCAAAAGGAAAAAGGGCTGAGGGCATGGCTCAAGCAGCAGTGCACTTGTCAAACATGCGGCCCTGGGTTCAATCCCTAAGGACTGGAAATACTTTAATCAAAGTTCAAAAATGGGAGTGTAGGTGGGACTTAAACATTATGAGCCAAACATTAAGCTGCAACACTAGTGAACAAAAACATCACCTCGCTAAATGTAGTGTTGACACGTGTGAAATGTCAGCAACGGCAGGAGGATGGTGAGTTCAAGCCCAGCCTGAGTCACCAGTAAAACCCTGATTCAAAAATCAAAACAACAAAAACTACACCCATCTTTCCAGAGTCTGCACCTAAACAAAACCAAGTGTTAAGACTGAGAAGGGCCAAGCTTTTCAACTAACAGCACAGTGCCCACACAATCTCTTGCTCATGACATGTTAATTCAATCCTAAACTGCAATGGGACATGAATGACTGAGTGGAGAGGTTGACACACAGTTGGACTTGAATTCCTCAGTTTAGCTCCCATCACATATGCCCCTGATCAAGAACCTCTTGTCTGGAACAGCTGTCTCCACCACTTGACTTTGCTTGCTACTCAAATTACTTACTTCCTGGTCTGGAATGTAGCTGGAGGAGTTTCATAGCTCCCCATTAGTTTTCCTTAGGAGGGCTAGGGAGGGGGACAGTGGTGAGCCAAGACCTAAAAATTGAGAACTCCTGCTACATGAAGTATGCACAACCATGCAGAGAAGCAGAGGACTGACAGATTACCTATGGAATCATCATAACACACTTGTGATTTTCACATATCACTCTAGGCTTTTCTATTTCCTTTGAGATGGAGTCCCCTTATGTAGCCCAGGCTGGCCTAGAACTCAGGATCCTACAGCCTTAGCCTCCCGAATACTGGGATTACAGTTGTGTACCAACCACCACACCTGATTATTCTATCACTCTGGCAAACCTTCATCCTGCTTCAAATCTTCATAAATAAGAGGATATGCTGTAACTTTTCTATTATATATACCTCAGGATTAACTTAATTAGTGAGACATTTTATACTCCCTTGTCATGTCACTTAATATGGATTGCTGGTCCTTGTTTAACTATGAAAATAAGTACACTGAGGTTATTTTTACCATTGGCACTGGGTGGCAGGTTAACGAGATGCATGGAAAACTACTATTAAAAAAGAAACCAGAGCCAGGTGCTGGTGGCTCATGCCTACAATCCTAGCTCCTCAGGAGGCAAAGATCAGGAGGATCGAGGCTCAAACCAACCCAGGCAAATAGTTCTTGAGACCGTATCTTGAAAATACCCTTTACAGAAAAGGGCTGGTTGAGTGGCTCAAGTGGCCCTGTGTTCAAGCCCCAGTACCAAAAAGAAAAAGAGACCAGTTACACAGTAGTGCACGCCTGTTAGTCCTAGCTACCTAGGAAGTGGAGGAAAAATGTCTGTGGTCCGAGAGCAGCTAGCAAAGTTGGCATGAGACTCATCTGAAAACACACTAAATGCAAAAGGAGCGGGGGGCATAGCTCAAATGGTAGAATAGTTCAAGCAGGAGGTCTTGTGTGCAATCTCCAGTACTGGAAAAATATAAAAAAGAAACCACAGAGCGTACACACATTGAGGAAAGGCACCCTGTGGATTTCAGCCACTTGGTCTGGCACACCCGTGGATTCCCATACACACAGATATTGCCCCACAAACCTCAGCAGTGAGGTACTCCAGAATTGCGGCACTGTACACAGCAGCAGTGGCACCCACCCGCCCGTGGCTTGTGGTGCGAGTCTTCAGGTGTCTGTGGATGCGGCCCACGGGAAACTGAAAGAGAGATGTCTCACTAGGAAGTGCTGCTAAGTGTCTTAATACATCACCGAGTGCAATCAATGGCATAGCAAGACCAATAAAGCATGAAACAAAACTGTGATAACACATATCAGAAGCCAAACCTATTTGGCAATTAGCCCATAGGGCTTTGTGTTTATGTCCTGGTCATCCTTAACAAACAAAGAGGAATTATGCTATGCTGTCAACTGCACATTCAACATAGCTTAATGACCACATTCATGCCTAGTCAACTCGTGCACAGTCACCTGTGCATTTGGAGCTCCACTACCTTCCTCTGACCCTAACTCTGTTCTTTCCTCAGTTTCAAGAGATGACCTGATAGTGAAGAAAACCACCACTCTCTCACTGTGAGAAAAAAGTTTTCTCATTTCTAAAGTATCCTAGTCCTATCTATTTGTGCAACCTTCTCTGTGATGGTGGGACCTTGCACAGGCTCTACTATTCAACTACACTTCCAGCACCCCTCCCTCTTCTCACCTCCTACACCACCTAGTATTGTTTTTTAACTCAGGGCCACTCCACCCGCCCTTTTCATGAAGGGTTTTTTGAGATAGGATCTCAAGGAACTATTTGCCCAGGCTGGCTCTGAATTGTGATCCTCCTGATCTCTGCCTCCTGAGTAGCTGGGATTCCAGGCATGAGCCACCAGCACCCAGATACACTGCCTCATTATTTTTGTTGTTTTTGGTGGTATTGGGTTTGAACTCGGGGTCTCGCACTTCCTAGGCAGGCGCTCTACTACTTGAGCCACGCCTCTAGCCCACTGCCCCATTATTTCAACAACTCCAATTACTTCCCTTCCACTGGCTCCTTTCCTCCTGAAAGTTTCTCTTAAAACTTCTCCTCATATCTATGGCAACTCTTACAGCTGTCTAGACATCTCCTTTCCAAAAGCAAAATTTGAAAACAAATCCTGGAACCCTTTCTTTACTTTTTTTTTCTGGTGGAACTGGGGTTTGAACTCAGGACTTCCCACGTACAAAGCAAGTGCTCTACCTCTTAAGCCTCGGCTTTATTCTCTTTTTGCTCTGGTTATTTTGGAGGTGAGATCTCACAAACTATTTGCCTGGGCTGGCCTGGAATTGAGATCCTTCTGACCTCAGCCTCTCAAGTAGTTAGGATTACAAGCCACCTGTGTGTGTCCAGCTCTTAAACACTTACTTTCTCATCACCATTTCTCCCAACCAAACTTCTGCTAAGTATTACCTCTTGAAGTCCAGCAGTCATATTTACAACTCACTTCCAGATCGCATTCTAAAGGAGAAGCAGCATTTCCACCTCATTTATTACAAGCTTAAGAGCAGGATCCTTGCCTATTCCCCCTGCAATCTCAGTGGGTGGTTATGTTGTCTGGCAGTCAGAAATTAAAAACATTTCTTGGTGTCTTTGGTCCCATTTCCTGCATGAGAGCAGGAAATGTTTCTCTCTCTTTTTCTCTCCTCCTCCCTTGTCTATACTTTATCCTGTTACACTAAAATAAATCCTTGTTAAAACTTAAAAAAAAAAAAACTTCACAGGCTTCAGAGACCACAATGTAATTTTTTGAGATGGGATCTTGTACATAGCCCAAGCTGGCCCTGCCTGTATCTTGCCAAGTGCTGGGATTACAGGTGTGCAGCACTGAGACCAAGCACCCTGGCTGCTATGAGTATAGCAGACAAGCTAAGGGAATCAGTTGCTGGATGTGGTGCCACAAGCCTGTAATCCCAGCACTGGGAGGCGCAGGCAGGAAGATCACAAGTTTGAGGCTATTCTGAGTTACTTAGATTTTTTTTTTTTAAAAAGAACTTTATTTTGAATAGGGGAAATAAGAATACAGCACTCAACAGCTATACAGTGTTCTCAATTTTGCTTTATTCAGCTTTCTATTACTATCTCTGAGGACTCCTCAGACTCAAAAAACAAAGCACGTTCTGAGGAGCCTACCGAAGTTAATTCTCATTCTCTTAGGTTAGGAAAGCTATTCATAGCATGAACTATCAATTTTATATAAAGGATCTCAAATTTGTAATTTCTTTATCACTACGCTTAGCTTTTTTAATATTCTGTGGCACTGGGGTTTGAATTCAGGGCCTCACACTTGCTAAGTGCTCTACCACTAGAGCCACTCGGGTCAGCCCTGTATCACTACACTTGGGAGAGCTGGACTCATGTTCCCAACTTTTGGATGTTTTCACATGAATGTTCTAATGAACTTAAAAATGACGCCACTTCAATTTATCTCATAGTATGCTCTCTCCACAAACTCCTGTATTCTTTAAGTTTTCTTTTCTTTCTTTCTTTTGTTTGGTGGCACTGGACTTTGAACTCAGGGCCTCACCCATGCCAGGCAAGCACTCTACCAGCCCTTTTTTGTGTTGGATTTTTTTGAGATAGGGTCTCAAACTTTTTGCCCGGGCTGGCCTCAAACAGATCCTCCTGATCTCTGCCTTCTAAGTAGCTAGACTACAGGTGTGAGCCAACAGCACCAAGCAAGTTCTAAGAATGAGAGCCTTTCTTTGACTTCCTCTCCACTCTTTACCTCTCCACTCATTTTTTGTACACACATGCTTTTTATTTCTTTCTAAACCACTATACTATAAACATCTCCTACCTTATTTCCTAAACCACTGCAATAATCTCCATTCTGACTTCTACCACACTTCAAATATACTTCGAATAAATTCTATTAGATGATTTACACAGTGTCCTAAAATATACAATACATGCATCTAGTTAAGTCCCATCCCCTTCCTTCAATATCATCCATCTGCTTCAACTTTCACAACCGACAAAAGAATAAAACCCAAACCTTGCCAGGCATGGTAGTGCATGCTTGTAATCCTAGCATTTGCGAGGCTGAGGCAGGATGATTCTCGTTTAAGATCAGCCTGGGCTACCAAGTGAGAACCTATCTCAAAACGAAAACAACAAAAGACCTCTTACAGCCTGGCCTTCCAGCTCCCTCATTTACCTGTTTCTTGGACTAGGGATGCAGCTGACGGTAGAGTACTTGCCTAGCAGGTGAAAGTCCTGGGTTCCATCCCCAAGACCAGGGGAAAAAAAACAAAAAAGTGTTTTTTATGGGTAGGGAATAATTATTATTTATCCAGAAAATTCTGAGTGTTTGGGTTAAAGTTGCAACAATTCAAATATATGAAGTTTGAAAGCGGTTTTATGAAGTTTTGTAGTGTTCTGAGTATATAGCTCAGTCTACAACTGAAGTTATGAGGGAAATATTCAAAGAACTAATGAGTAGTCCATTACAAATTTGGTTTCTTTCTTCTTTTGTTGGATGGTACTGGGATTCGAACTCAGGGCCTCATGCTTGCTAGGCAAGCACTCTACCACTTGAGCCACACCTCCAGGCCTCATCCTGAACCTTTATGTACCACTATAAACACCTTCAAAAAAAAAAAAACCATAATATACTCACTTTAATATAATTTATAAGAACCAGGAATGCAATTATAATCTTAAAAGAACAGATAGATTATAATAGAACAAATTACTAAGTTAACATTTCTTCACAACTTCCTCTCATATAAAAGAGAATGCAAAATTCATAGTTAACTTTATGATTTAAGTTTTGAGCCAATTCATCTCAATATTAAAGGCCTGTAGCAATAAAAGGACATTGTGAAATGAATGAAACCTTTACTGTCATGAATTGTAACAGTAAAGATTAATTTAGAAATGAGTGATGACAGCACAGATTACCTGTAGCCCAGCTCTCTGTGAGCGAGACACTGCCTTGGCCTTGGCCTTCCCACTATCCTTTCCAGCTTTGCCTCCAGCCTAGATGAAAAAAATTTTGGATGAAGAGTTGAATGCTGCCTCAAAACATGAGAAAACAAAATTTCTAGTTAAACACTAGGTGTTAAGGAGATCTAGATGACCTCCTGCCTTGTTTGTAAATATACATGCAGTCATATCGCCTTTTATTAACATCTATAAAAAAAGACACTGAACGTTAAACACCTACTTAAAATATGACATGTCTATAGATTTGAACATATTTCTCAATTTTGATAGCTGAATCTTCCAAGTCTACAAGTCTTAAACATGCCTGAAGTGTTTTTTAGAAATGTCAACATCATGTTTTTCCATAGACACATTTAGAACTTAGCTCTTCTGGAAGGAAAAAAAACCTTGTTACTGAAAGCAAAACAAAAACAACAAAAAAAATAACCTTCAAAAGGTTAAAGAATTGTCATCTGATCCAGCAAGTCTACTTGTAGGTAGATACCTAAAAACTGAAAGCAAGTCCTCAGACATACTTGCACACCCATGTGCACAGCAGCATTGTTCAAACAGCTGGGAAAGAAGTGCCCGAGTGTCCACTGACCATGACCGCTAAACAAGATGAGGCATGTAATACAGCAGAATAGCGTCCAGCTTTACAAGGAAATGCTGACAAGTGCCACAACGTAGGTGGACCTCGAGGACATTATGCTAAGTGAAATCAAATAATCAGAAAGACTAGATACTAGTTTACTCCGCTTACATGTGGTCCCCAGAGTCGTCAAATTTATAGCCAAACAGAATTGTGGTTGCCAGGGCACAGGGCAGAGGAAAATGGGGTTGCACGATATGAGTACTTAGTATCACTGAACTGTGCACTTAAACAGTGGCTAAAAAAAAGTCAATTTTATGTTAAGTATTTTACTATACACACAAAAAGGACCTTCAAACTTCTTCTTTTTTTTTTTTTATTATTCATATGTGCATACAAGGCTTGGGTCATTTCTCCCCCCTGCCCCTTCAAACTTCTAATAAACAACTAGTTACTAGGGAGGCCAAGATATGGAGGATCACAATTCGAGGCCAGCCCTGGTAAACAGTCCACAAGACCCTATCTCCAAAACAACCAGAGCAAAATGGACTGGACATGGACATGTGGCTCAAGTGGTAGAGCCCCTGCTTTGCAAGCACAAAGCCCTGAGTTCAAACCCCAGTCCCACTAAAACAAACAGAAACACTTCTACTAAAGACATTAAACACAGCCAGGCACTGGTGGCTCACACCTGTAATCCTAGCTACTCAGGAGGCAGAGATCAGGAAGATTGTAGTTTGAAGCCAGCCTGGGGAAACAGTTCAAGAAACTCTACCTCAAAAAAAAAAAAAAAAAATCACAAAAGAGGGCTGGTGGAGTGGCTCAAGGTGCAGGCTCTGAGGTTAAACCCCAGTACTGCCAAAAAAAAAAAAAAAAAAAAAAGGAGAGAGAGATTAAACAAATACCATTAGCAACTGTTAGAAATACTTCTGTCTTAGTGTCCACTAATAGAATGGTTAACGAATCATGGTAAACAACTGCAATGAGTATTTAAGCACTCATTTCAACAAATGAAGTGCATATATTGTGCTGAGACAGAACAAACTTCAAATCTCCCTTTCTGAGACGAAGAGGGACAATACTAGGGGTTGAACTTAGAGCCATATGCTGCCAGGCAGGTGCCGCTCCACCACTCAAGCCACACCCCTAGTCCTTTTTGCTTTAGTTAATTTGACAGAGGGTCTCACTCATGCCTTGCCTCAGCGAGCCCCCAATCCTCCTATTTATGCTTCCCTGTGTAGCTGGGGACGACAGACATGAAACACTGCACCCAGTCATTGGTTGAGAGGGGGGGGTCTCTTGAATCTTTTGCCCAGGCTGGACTTGAACTGCCATCCTGATCTTTCCTTCCTGATTAGGCAGAATTACAAACTTGAACCAATGCATCCAGCTTCAATTGTATGTGAAAAAAGCAAGGTATGTGCAAATATAATGAGCTTTTGGTATATGTAAAAATGGAGTCTGTGTACATACATATTTCTGGAAGGTGACACAAGTTAGGCAGGGAAGGAGTACTAAGAATCTGACTTTTTTCTCATTTGTATCATTTGATTTTGTCACTTAAATCTATTACTTTCTAGCTGGGCACTGGTGACTCATGCCTATAAGGAGGCAGAGATCAGGAGGATCTCAGTTTGAAGCCAGTCTGGGCAAATAGTTCACAAGACCCTATCTCGAAAAAGCCCTTCACAAAAAAGGGCTGGTGGAGTGGCTCAAGGTGAAGGCCCTGAGTTCAAACCCTAATATCAGAAAAAAAACAAAAAACCTCTACCACTTGAGCCACACCTCCAGTCCCTTTTGCTCTGATTATTTTGGAAATGGGGGTCTCACAAACTATTTGCTCTGGCTGGCCTCAAACAGCAATTCTCCCAATCTCAGCCTCCCACGTAGGTAGGATTACAGGGCTGAGTTATGGGTCCCCAGCTAATTCATATTCTCTTTAGTGTATTAAAACAGTTCAGCAGCACAAGAAGACTGAACACAATTCAGCAAAATTTACTTTGAAGAGTGAGAATTTAAACTAGATTTCTAGTAAGATGGTATCTCATATACTTTAATAATTTCCAACTATATTGCTAATAAGAAAAAAAAACTATTGAGTATTTTGGATTAAAGGAGGTCAGCTCCTTTAGTAAGATTCTTGCCTATTCTTCAAATAAACCTTTTCATCTCTATTTATTCCAGCATAAACCATGTAAAAACTTCTCAAGTGGTCCATGAGGCTAAAATTATAATCAGCCTGTGACTAGATTAAAAAATAAAAGCTAGTTGTTTACTAAGAACCACAAACAAAGAATCCCCAGATTTCTTGATTCACACAGTTAAATACCCTGCTTAGCAATTTTATCCTGTTTTATTTCTTTCTTTTTTTTTTTTTTTGCCATACTGGGGTTTAAACTCAAGGCCTCATGCTTGCTAAGCAGGTGGTAGACCACTTGAGCCTCTCTGCCAGTCTTAATTTTAGCCTGCTGTAGACTGGCGGTATATGCTGTTTTATCTATTTGTTTTTATGGAAGTAGACATATAATCGGTTTTTAAACAGCTTAATTCATGTAGGGCATGGTGGCAGGGATCGGTAGTCCCAGTTACTTGGGAGGCTGAGGCGGGAGGATCACTTGAGTGCAGTAGGTGGAGACCAGCCTGGGCAACATAGCGAGGTCCCAAAAAGGCTCATTACATGAGAAGACTTTCCACAGTGTGCAGACTGCAGATACATTTTCTATACTTAAAACAAGCCTTGTGGAATGAGATCCTTCTGACATCCTCTCAAACACAAATCCTCCCAGCTTTAGTCATTTTAATACAGTTGATGACTGAGAAATAGAACTTTCCTTCCAAGAATTATATTAGTATTAGCATGGGCTAAGCCTCTTGGTTAAAAGATTTTTAAAATTTACATGGGGAGGAGGTGAGCACTGGAGTGCATTTCACTGGAAACCTTGGAAACTCAATGGTGAGGCACTTTCATATATGAACAGACACATGCTTACCTCCCAAGTTTAAAATCTTAAAATCAAAAATGACATCTCAGCCTGGCACAGGTGGCTCATGCCTGTAAATCCTAGCTACTTAGGAGGCTGAGATCAGGATCAGGAGGATCTCCCATTTTGAGCCAGCCCAAACAAATAGTCTATGAGACCCCCATCTCCAAAATAACCAGAACAAGATGGACTGGAGGTGTGGCTCAAGAGACAGAGCACATGCTTTGGGAGGATAAAGCCCTGAGTTCAAACCCCAGTCCCACCAAAAAGAAAAAAAAAAAAAAAGACAATTCAATGACTCCTTTTTTTTGAGGGACTGGGGTTTGAACTCAGGGCCTCATGCTTGGGAGGCAGGCGCTGTATCATTTCAGCCACTCTGCCTGCCTGGGTCCTGGTATTTCTATCTCACCTCAACACTTGGATACCCAACAGGTAGCATATCAAAATCTGAGAAATAATTAAAAAATGCAAGGACCATGAAAAATCAGCTTGAGCTGGACTGTAATCCCAGCTATTCAGAGGAAGAGATTAGAAGGATCACAGTTCGAAGCCCGGGTGAATAGTTCACAACACCCTATGTCAAAAAAAAAAAAACCCATCCCAAAAAAAGGACTGGTAGAGTGGGGTCAAAGTGTAGGCCCTGAGTTCAAACCTCAGAACCACACGCACATACAAAAATCCATTAGCTTGAGTAAGTTAATTTACAGATTAGATGTAACCTGTGCCTCAGCAATGGAAGAATACTTTACCATAGAATACTGCATACTGATTCACAGGTATACCAGGTTGAATGCAATTATCCTTAAGATCCACTGTAACTCTGTAAGTCTGTGAATTTTACAATGATCAAAATTTGCGTCCTCTCGATTGGCCAATCTGTTTATAGTTCAGTGTTATGTCTATTAAATCCCATCCAAACAGAAGACAAATCTCATGTAATCTGCAGAGGGCTCCGGTGGCTCACGCCTGTAATCCTAACTACTTGAGAGGCTGAGATGAGGAGGATCGCAGTTCGAGGCCAGTCCAGGGAAACAGTTCGGAGGACCCCCTCAACCCCGCGCCAAATCTCCTAAAAAACAAGAGCAAAACGGGCTGCAAGTAAGGCTCAAGCGGTAGAGTGCCTGCTTTGCAAAGTAAACCCTGAGTTGAAATCCCACCAAAATAATAATAACCAGAGGAAAATGGACTGGAGGAGTGGCTCATACCCTAGAGCGCCAGCCTTGCAAGTAAGAGGTCCTGACTTCAAACCCCAGTCCCACCAAAAAAACGGAAAAAACAAAAAGAAGCAAGGCGAGGAGAGGAGAGCTAACTTGTAAGCAGTAGCTGGGGTTTAGCAACCTGATCTGCTTGCAGTAGTATTTCCGACGCCAACGCGATCCCAAAACACGCTCGCATCCACCTCTGCAGGATGTCTGCGCACCTCAACTTGAGAAAGGGGGTGAGCGTCAAGTATGGCTGGCTTGCACCCCGCTGCTAACAGGACCCAAGCCTCAGAATAACTAGGCGGGCGGCGCAACACCCCGGACCCTCCTGGACAACCTCAATTTCACTGCCGGGAATTACGTAACCAGCGACGCCGCGAGTTCAGAACCAGCCCCGGGTATGGCCGGCCGACCGGGTCGGGACAGAGTTAGCACCCGACCCGACCCAGCTCGGGCCAGAGTCCAGCCCGATTCTCCACGTTCGCCTCCACGGCCCCCAGTGGCGCAGCACGGGGACCCGCCGGATGCGGCCCCGACGCCCGCCAACTCCCGACTCCACAGGTAGCGGCACGGACCCCAGGGCCCTCGGTCTGCCCCGCTCGGCCTCTCGTACTCACCATGGTCTCGGCCGACTCTGCCTCGGCTCGGCCGCACGACCGCTCCCACTGCTAAGTCGCGCCGCCGCCGCAACCGCCGCCGCCGCTCTCGCAGCACCTACCGCCACCACCGCCGCTGCCGCCGCCGGAGCCGGAGCCGGACAATAACCCGGGCCCGCCTCGCACTGTCGCGACCAATGGTCGCCCACCTTCCTAGTTTGAACCCCTGCGGTTATCCAATAGGAGGTCTCCTTCTAGACAGTACTCCGCCCCCAAGGCACCTCCTTCCTAACGGCTGTTTGTTTTTGCACACGGCCCGTGGAGGCGGGGCCTCGAGCCCCAACACACACACACACACACACACACACACACACACACACACACACCACACACACACACACACACACACACACACACCACACACACACACACACACACACACACACACACACACACCACACACACACACACACACACACCACACACACACACATGCTCTCCCCGCCTCTTTCCATGCGCTCAATGTGACAGACAGAGGAACTGACCATTGAGAGAGAAAGAGAGCCAATGAAAACATTGCCCGCAAGCGAGGGAGGCAGATGACAAGAACGACAGTAGGGTTAGCCAATGAGGTGTCGGGATTTCAGGCGGCTGTGACTTCCCGCCCATTCTCGGCGTCGGTGGTTGTGTTTTGGAGATTTGTCTGCGGGAGGAGGAAGCGAACAGTCGTCTCTCTGCCGGCGATTTTGACTTCCGGCAAATACTGAAGTTTCTTGGTCCTTGCCGGGACTTGAAACCCGCGGACGCTGGATTTGAATATTTCTCGACCGCGGTGCTCAGCCCTGTCCTGGCCGATTCATTTCTATTACGCAGTTTAGGCGCGGAGTTTGTTTCTCTTACGTCATTAAGTTCAAGTTGGGGAAAAGTCCCTTCCTCCCTCGGTCTCACTATGTTGCTCAGGGTGTTTTCAAACTCCTGGGCTCAATCCATCCTTAAATCCAATGTAGCTGGGACTAAAGTGATACACTACCATACTCAGTTTACTTGTACTCTAAAAATATACTTTTCTACGACCTCTAAATTGTTTTTATATGTTTTTATAATCAGAATAGAAAGTATTTAATAACATTTCGGGGGGAGGAGAGGATAAGGGAGAATGATGGAGGGGGGTTAATTCAAGTATGATATAGTTGATACATTCTAAGAGCCTTTGTAAATGCCACAATGTACCCCCACCCAGAATAACGATCAAAAATAAAGGAAAAAAATTGAAGTTTTATAAGTCAAAGGAAATATAGAATTAAGGAGAAAATAGAATAGATGGCCAAGCTTTTCAACACTTAGCTCATTCATCCTTATAATTGGAGTGCTTACTGCATGCTAGCCAATGTTAAGTACTTTCTGTTCTTTTTTTTTTTTTTTTGTGGTACTGAGGTTTGAACTCGGTCTACACCTTGTGTCACTCCACCTGCTTGCCTCTTCCTCATTCTTTTAACTAGTGTTCTTTGGCTCTTTGACTCTGACTTGTAGTCAGTGAGAGAAAATCAAAGGAAAGATGTGAATGATGACTTAGATTGTTAGATACCCTTCACCCTTTATGACTGAAACCACAGTCTGACAAATCCATAGAAAATAAACAAGAAAATGATGTAATCCTAGCACTTGGGAGGCTGAGGCAGAAGGATCTTGAGTTTGAGGCCAGAGACCCTGTCTCAAAAACAAACAAAAAAAAAAAGGAAATGCGTTTGTCATCCCAAGAGAAACATTTTTCTGCTTGCCAGAATGACAGGAAGTTTAGGGCAACAGCGTACTTACAATAGTTTAACACAGATGTTTCACCAAAAATGTATAATACTGTATTGTTTGCTCACAACTCACTTTGTAACAATAAACTAGTGTTGTATTATTAATAAAAACAATTATATGTTTTTAAATTAGCAGTACTGGAGTTTGAACTCAGGGCCTCACACTTGAGCCACTCCACCAGCCTTTTTTTTTTTTTTTTTTTTGTGATGGGTTTTTTGAGATAGGGTCTCAAAAAATAGGTCAAACTATTTGCCTGGGCTAGCTTCAAACCACAATCCTCCTGATCTCTGCCTCCTGAATAGCTAGGATTACAGGCATGAGTCACTGGGGCCCTGCTACTTGGCTATTTCTTGGTTTGAGAACAGGTTGGGTGACAGGGTGCAGAAAGGCAAGGTCATTTTCAGGTCCACATGGCTCCCTGTCACCAGTCACACAGTGAGCACATTTGGTTCTAATCCACTCATGCAGTGTGACTTTAGAAACAGTTGTGCCCTGCCTGCTAAAGGAAAACATGACTTCAACATAAAGAGCTGACTCCTAACTGAGTCGGTGTCCCAGGCTGTTCACTGTGATAGGAGACCTTAGCATTGTATTTCTTGGTCATTAATGCAAATTAACCAAATCAACACACTGTTTTTCTGTTATTAGTTTGGGGAACGATTTTATTTTCCTTTCTCAGATACCACGTCCAACAAATGTTGCTGAGTGGGACCTGCAGTTTCTCTGCCTGCCTTCCTTTCTCAGGGACCTGGGGAGGGTCTACAGAGCCTGCAGCCACCAGTGGATTTGTTGTGTGTCATCCCAGCTTCTGGCATAGTGCTGTGTCAACATCATTCCAGACAAGAAAGGGTTGGTGAGCGGGTGTAGACCCATGCTCGCCCTTGTCACTGACCTCACTTGGGGACACTGCCTATGTTAGGGAGAAATTGTCTTTTCTTCCATAGCTTTAGTGGGGCTGTCTCTTGACAGGAACAGTGCTGAAAATCAAATGTACTTAGTAGTGAGGAAAACTGGTTTCTTTCTAAAAGCTCTTTCGTATTCTCTCTCCTGGCCTACTAAAGTATTAAGTTCCATTTGAACCATGGACCATGTCCTCTGTACTACAGTAAATATCTAATAATTATTTTGTTGTTACTGGTGGTGGAAGTGGAATGGAATTTGAACTCAGGGCTTCACCCTTACAAAGCAGGTGTTCTAATGCTTAAGCCACACTTCCAGTCCATTTTGCTGTGGTTATTTTGGAGATGCGATGTCATGAACTATTTGCCCAGGGTTGGCTTGGATCTTTGATCCTCCCGATCTCAGCTTCCCAAGTAGTTAGGATTACAGGCGTGAGCCATTAATGCTTGGCCCGGTAATTAATTAAATGAATTTACAAATGACCTCAGAACGGTTATGATGATGTTGGTAATGACCACTAGGTGGCTCTCATTTGCCCAAATCCAACCAGTTCACTGCGGAGCTAGTTCCCTCTTGGAGGACGACCTTCAGGAGTTTTTACTTTTTACTGAGACAGTGGCCTAAAACTCATGATCCTCCTGCCTCAGTCTCCTGAGTGCTGAAGTTATAGGCATGAAGTACCACACCCAACTGACCCTAAGGATGTTTTTTATGTGTGAAAGATACACATTCAGAATCACACTAGTGGTTTAGAACAGAGTGAGGAATAGAATTCTAGCTTACAACTTAATACCAAAACAGTAAGATTTAGTTGAGGCACTGGCTGGAATGATGTTGGCTCCATCTGCTCCTTACGCTTGGGCAATAACGAACTTGAAGCTAAAAAACCCAAGCCACCTACAGGCTTTGCAATGAACCAGACCGAGCATCAACGGGTTATGGTTATGTCAACTCCTTGCAACAAATAAGCGAATTTTCCCCCAGACCTTTGGTTATTTCTGCACACGCAGTGCTCAAACCAACAGCAACAGAGTTTCCAGGGAGGTACTTAGAGGTGCAGCCTCCCCCTAGCTCAGAAATCCAAAAGTCCCAGTTTCCAGGCTCTGGGTGACAAACCAACAGCAACAGAGTTTCCAGGGAGGTACTTAGAGGTGCAGCCTCCCCCTAGCTCAGAAATCCAGAAGTCCCAGTTTCCAAGCTCTGGGTGACTACCATGCTGGCTAAGGGGTTCTCTCTGCTAGTAAGAGTTCCTAGCCAGGGAACACGATGCTGAAGGTTTCATTTGTCAACTCTTGTTAGGGGCCCAGTGGCTACAAGGTGAAGGCTGTGCACTCCAGGAGGCTCAGCTGTGATGTTTCTAGCTTTCCTGAAGCTGGGATTCCCAATCTTCATCCCTCTCCCCTTCTGTACCCTTGAATATCCCACAGGCCACTGGTTCCCAGCCCTGACTACGCACTCAGTCACCTGAGGGAGGTTAGATCTAACACATACAACCTCCATGTCCCAAAGATTCCGACTGAGTTAGGATTGGTGTGGGGTGGTACACAGCTCTCCAGGTGGTGAGAACTACTGCTGGAGATGGTGGAAGGGCAGTCATAGGTAATCATGTGCTGTCTGTGTATGCGTCTGTCGGGGGAGGACCTGGTCAATGCATCCACTATCAAGAAGCAAAGGATTATTCAACTACTTTATCTTGTGCAGCCTCACCCTTCATTTTCAGAAAGCTGGAAGGCGCACACGCAGTGTAAATGAATGGCTCTTAAAGCCCATGTTCATAATTATTTGCCTTTCCCACTTTCTCTCAGAAGTGCACAGTGGAGGTTCCCAAAAGCTAAATATTATGTCATTGCTCTGATGGTGTGCTTTTGTCCTGAAAAATTTTGTTTCTAGTTTGACTGTTATTTACAGATAGCCCAAAAAGACAAAAATGAAGAAAAAAAAAAAAAAGGGTTATGACAACAACAAAAAATCTTTTTTTTTTGCCAGTACCGTGGTTTGAGTTTAAGGCCTCATGCTTGCTGGGCAGGTGCTCTACCACTGGAGCCTCAGCCCCTTTTGGCTTTATTTTTTTAGATAGGGTCTTGCATTTTTTGCCTGGGCTGGCTTCAAACTGCCATCCTCCCTATCTCTGCCTTCTGAGTGGCTGGAATTACAGAAGTGAGCCACCACACTGGGCTTCTCCTTGTGGTATTAAGTGTAAAGGTGTTCCGAGACAACGTCTGGAAATGTCTGGCCAGGATCTAGGGACACAGTAGCCACCTTTCCTTTAATGTTAGGGCAAGAGCAGGCTGGCCCTTTACTCTGCTGATGAACAAAGAAGGAACAACTGGGACAATGGTTTCTGGCAGCCAATGTAAAGGACAGGAAAACAACACAGAGGAAGGAAGTGATGGGTCTGGGTTTCGGAACAAAGGGAAAAGCAAGTTAGCAACTGAGGTGCTTCATTCAGATGGCCTTGGCTGTGGCTCAAGTGGAACGCGCAGTGATTTTTCAGGGCCCCCCGAATGGGAGCCCTTCAGACCCATCCCCTGTGAGAGGTTGTGGCACCTCCCTCCACAACCGCCACGTCAAGCCTCAAATAACAAACACCAGCCCGGGATTGTCATTCACTTTTCCGCATACTTTATTTGTTACAAACATACAATTTTTTAAATATAGACTGTAAAACTCCATTTGCAAAAGTCTGCTATCGTAAGGAGTGCACACCAGCAGGAAGGATTCTTAAAACTTTTTTTCTATGAGTTTTCTGTCAGTTTTGCTAGTTAGTGGTAAATACGGGACCCGCCATTCTACAGACCTGTCTGAAGCTTCTGGCTGTGTTCACATTGCTATCTTGAAGCAGCCCTGCTGGCTCGGAACCCGTGAGGATCTGAGCTTCGACCTCCAGGCAGTGAGCTCAACAGCCCGTCTGGACTCTGCTTACACGGTTTTCAGGAGGTGATTTCTGAATGGGTACTGCGCTGCACAGATTTGCTTGACTCGCCCATGCAGCTCTAGGTTTGTTAAAGTGCATTCTTCTTTTAAAAAATAAGCAAGAGGAATCATCTTTACTCTTTTAACCAAGGTACTTAAAAAATGAACTTTTTGGTCTCTCAGCAGATATTCCCAAATCGATCCTACCACTACAAATTTTAGTGCTCTATTTACAACCACTTACGGGGTTACAGGTGGAGGGGACCTTACAAAAGTAAAGGTGCGGCTTCACTTGAAGCAGAAATCAGCTCTACAGATTCATACGGAGGCATACACGCTTGGTTTACAATGCATACTAAGCATGTTGTATTTACACAGAGATTCACGAGATCCCAAAAAACCCTTTCTAAAGTAATTTCCAAGCTAAACTCCAATTGTCCGTTGAGATCAATGTCTCCTGCTATGAGATTTGGTTTACTCGTAGGAATTGTTTCTGCAGCTTCTCTACTTTGGAGGGAAGCGCCTAATGGAGCCACTGGCAGACAGAGCTGGCAGTGGCAAATTCTACAGAACAGGTGTGCTGTCTGGGGCTATTACCAGAAGACAGTCGATGTTAACAAATGACCTTGGAAAGACACCTGGGCGAAGGATCAAGAAAATACCTACCAGTACAAATGTTCTAGGACTTTAGAAAAGAGTTCAAGTACACTGATGAACCTTAGCTACTATTCAAATATTGATGCTATTGAAAAAAACCTCAAGATATGCTTGCCTGCTACCAGAATGTGCAAAACCATGGACTCTATTTTAAAAAAGTATGTCCACACTGATTTAAAGTCAGTTTCTAGACTTTCTGCCCAATCCATCAACTTTTAGGAATCCAGAGAGCTTTTTTGGTGGTTCTGGGGTTTTGAACTCAGGGCCTTGCTCTTGTTAGGCAAGTGTTCTATCACTGAGTCACACACCCACCCAACCCTTTATTTTTCAGATAGGGTCTCGCTTTTGCCCAGGGCCGGCCTCGGACCACGATCCTCCTACCTCTGCCTCCTGTACAGCTGGGATTACAGGCATGTACCATCATGCCCGGCTCCAGAAAGTTTTTGTACACAGGAGGGTAAAGTGTGGGCTGGGAGAAAATGACCCCCAAATTCCTACAACACAAACGTGTTTAATGATATAAACCTGTTCTTTGATTCTCTTGGAACTTTCCTGCACTTCTATTTCTCTGAAAAAGAAATTTAATTGGGGAAGAAACAAAACACTTGTCATTCTATTTCCAAACAGTGAAAAGACTTTTTTGCTAACCAGTCTGATCTCGTAACATGGGACAAAATATTTTGCCTTTAAGAAAGAAGAGATGGTCTAACTGAATTTTCTCGAGTTAGCCATTGAAGAGCTACTGAAGGGAGGAAAAAGGACAAACTCATGCCTTCTGCAACATGCTAGTGGGCACGGAGTGGACCGATGGCTTTCTCTCAGGACTCAGGACCCACACTTCGCTGCATTCAAAAAGGTGTGATCAGCCCCTTATTCACATCAGCGGATATGAGACATCGAATAGGGGAAATAGTATTTGCTCCTGTATTAAAAACTCTCCTGTTAATTGCAAATGTAGTTAAAAATCTTTCACCAAGTGGGAAAAAATGGTAAGGTTTTAACTTCTAATAAAGACCTGCCCTCCTTTTATTAGAAGTCCTACTGAGCAGCGGGGCCAGCAACACAGCATTTGCTATGTTTTAACACGGCTCTACCTACTGGAATGTCCGATTCAAGAAGGCATGAGCTTTCAAATAAAGTCAAAGACTGTGAATAGAGGGGATGACATGATTACATCAATGGCATAGTCTCTGCTTCATTAGGAAATATAAAATACATTCACAAAGGCCTTTCTTGGATCAGGGGTATGTATAGCAATTAGGAACCACTAGGGTAGTAAGACTTTATAATGCAAATTCATGACTTTCCCAATCCCCAAATTTAATTCTCAGTACTGATAAGCAGATCACATTTTTTTCAAGTAAAAGCCCATTGAGCCCTTTAGTACTGAAACTAGGTTTTAAGACTGAGGACCGAGCAAGGTTACTTGAAACAGCAAAGTTAGATACACCGCAGAATTTGCCACTCTAGAGTCCAGTGGCTATCTCCGGAAACTTCTGGGGGCTAATACTTCAAAAGCAACAACTCAGTTTTTCTAAATTAAAGGCAGGGAAAATGAAGTTATACTTTGCCACTTCTACCTTAGATCTGGAATTTCAAACAGGACATATGACATGAACTTTTTTTTGTCTGTATTTTTTTAAGGTAAACATGGTTCTTTTTTCTTTTCTACAAAGTATCTCCCCTCCCTCCCTCCCTCCCCACCCCCCACCCTCCACTATCCAGTATACTGAATGGAGTTGTAACTCTTTAGGAAGACAGCTAATTGATTTACAGTACTCTAAAACCAACCCTGAAAACTGATAATCTCATTCATTTCCTCTGACTTCAGTGCCATGGCTGACAGAAAAGAAAAGGCTACCTTAAGGCTCAAGGGAAAGTAACTTGGGAATTCTGAATGCAGCATTGTTTACTCTCCCATCCATTGGAAACTAGCAAAATGCATTCTGGATCAACACTACAAACTTTCTACCACAGCAAAGATTTCTATTCTCCTTACACAGAGCTAGAACAATACTCTAAACAGATTAGCTAGGGGAGCCTGAGAAACCATGACCCACAACACACAAAGATCCCATGTATTTCATGATCAGAAAGTGCTTATCTTAGAGAAGTATGTCAGGGTTAAAATGGAAATATACAATGCAACATCACTTGACACTTTTTCAAGTGAAGCAGAAGGTGGGAAAGGAGCTACGGGGTGGATGGAGGTCTGCTCTCTGAACAGGCCTTATGCACGTGACTTTTAGGGTGCACTAAATTAAAACTGCCTTAAGAATTAATAATAGTGGGGTTTCACACCACTATGTTCTACAACCTGAGATTGGACATCAAGCAGTCAACTCTGTTATTCATCAGAGCAATTCTGATGCTTCCAAAAAGTAGAAGAAAACTCAATTGAATTAGCTCCAGGGTCAAAAACATTACCTTTCCCCAATCAAAAAGGAGACCGATCGATGGAAAACATCCAACTTAAGGAGTGCTGCAGAATGACAGCTCTCGGCAAACAAGTCATTTTTACATAAGCAAAAAAGTCACTTTTCTCCTTCCCCTTCTCACTGGTCAAGGCCACACTATTTTCAAATGAATATCTACTGAGAGATCAGCTGTGCATTGGACAAAGTACCATAATTGGGTTAAAAATGAAAACAAAATTTACAGTGAAGAATACTTATGTGCATGGCTTACACACTCCAGCTTCTCCTTAACTGTATCCACCTCAAAAGCAAGGTAGATGCAAACAGTCACCTCGGCTAGAGGATACTACACCCCTGTGAAAAGCCAGTCAAGGTCACACTTAACAAAGCATCCTCAGCAACCACAGTGCCTGAAGTGTGCAGCCGTTTACAGACCACTCAATATGAGGGCATTATTATAACCAGCCTCTTTTGCCCACAACCCTGCATTTTCAGATAAGACAGGATAATTGTTTTGTTTTGAGAAAACCGAAGCGTGAATCTTTTAAAAGACCTGCAATTTACTGCAAAGTGATCCAGAGGTAAAAAAGGAAGCAGGAGGTTAATGGCTGCCTGCACCAAAAGCCTCTCAATCACTTTGCAGTAAGTAATTATGGAAAGTGACATGACAAGCAGCATGTGTGCCTCACAGCTACTGTCCTTTATACCACCTAAGTGCCTCACACTTACATAGGGTGTTTGGGTTTTTGGTTTGGTTTCACTTTGATTTTTGGTACCATGCAGATTTATACTTTGTTTCGTGCAGCATATGCACAGAAATTTGCTGACTAGAACTGCCGTTCCACTTGCTGAAATGATGGGGAGGGACAACAGGATCCAGGGAAGAGTGGTAGGATCTCTTCACAGACTTTCACTCTCCTGATCATCTCTAATATCTGACTTAGCTCTGTCGCTACAGTACTTCGAGAAACAAACCTTTCACCAATCATTTGAAAAGGAGTTTTAGTTCCCTGCTTCTAAGGAATGTAACTATTTTCATTAGCTGGGCCGCTTGTCAAATTTAAAAAAAGACGACCTCTAAATTGTTTGTCCTAGCAGTTAAGACAGAACGACAGTTGCAGGATGCCATGGTCTGCCTGGAACTAGTTACTTATGAACGACTACTCCACGTTTTGCAGATTTCTCTATTGTCCCTAGTCACTGGAATGAGGATCAGTGGAACGTCACAATTAATCCACATCCTTCTGCAATCTTCCTGCAGTGGGAAGAGAGGCCATGAACCACCCCCTGCAGGAGAGAGAAACCTTAGAGATTGGTTAAGACTTAAAAACCCACCACTATGACATTTACCACTTCATCTTACATAGGCAGGTCAAAATTTTAATATAAATTACTTTTGCCAACACATAGCTTACGCATTCTTTGCTCCTTTTTTTGGAGGATTCTCAAATTGATACCTAAAGATTTACATATGATATATTACTGTTACATGGTCTAATGACTAAGAAAACTTCTCTGGTAACCAAAGCTGATGCCATATATGGTAGTGCTCTTGGCATATACTCTATATGCCTCAGACCACTTCCACATTCTTTCTATTCAGCTAATTATAGCTTAGTAGCCACTGGTGAAGGATTGTGAAGACCCTGTCATTTCTACAGAATAGAAAGGCAAGGCTAGTTACTGCAATTCAGCCAAATAAAAAGAAAAAATACACCAACCCCTTGAAAAGGAGAGGTAACTGCACCTTTGCAAAATCGAACTGGCTCACTGCAGCTGAGCAACAGAACCACCACTGAAGCAAGAAAACAAGTTGGTCTATACAGGAATCATACATGGTTTGAAAATGAAAAAGTTACAGCAATCAGCTAATAGCTGCAACCTTAATTCTCATTGCTGCCTCAGAGTTGAAACTTAAACAGTTTCTGCAAACCTAATGCTAGCTTCTCAGCTCCTTTACTAAACTAGGAATTTGTTCTCCGCAGCAAAGAAAGAAACACTCAAAACACATAGGTAAATACAGCAGGACATTATTGAAAACAGCTGCCTTGTAGTACAAAATACAGTACAAGTATACAGATGTCATTAAAACATCAAAAATACTATTGCTCCCATACAATTTAGGAAACATTCTTTGCAACGGAGAAAAATTTAAAAGAAAAGCTTTAAAAAAATCTGTTTAAAAATCTTAGTGTGGATGATGAGAGTAGAGAAATAGTCTGAGAAGGGCACCGATGTCTGTGGCTCCTCTACCTTTCAAAATCGAGGATTAACAATATTTTGAATCATAGTCTATTTTTTTTAAAAAAGCCTAATTTTATATACACAATTATTTCCCTGCCTCTCAGCCACAAATACATGAAAATGACCTTTTTGTATATTACTTATTTCCCAATAAATACAAAAAGATTGTATAGATCGAATAATACCAAAATAAGATAATAAAGAGGATATGCAATAAATTAAAAAGGCAGCTCAAATAAAGGGCAGGCATGCAGTTAAAAAAAAAAAAATACCAAGATTGTGGAGGTGGGGTTCCTTGCCTCCTGGTTGGTAAGGTGTCACACAAAGGATACCTGAACATTCGCTCCATTCGATTCAAAGTCGCCTAGGTCTGTGACATTTCTAGGAATACCTTTTGATGGGGGTGGGATTAACTTGATTAGTAAAAATCATTTCTACTGAGAATCCATTTAAAATACAGAAGAGGCGATCCTTGAAAACCCCAACTTTTATTCTTGAAAGACAGCTGGATAAACTGGCAGGTGCCAGTGTGCTGAGATTTCATGATGGTATAAAATGCGTCCAGGATATAGTCAGCGTTCTTCGGTTCCACTCGCAGATGGACTCCAACCTCCACCAGGCGCTGCTTGAATCACTCATTCATCCTTGCCAACTGATTGTGAGGTACTGATACGATGGATCGAGTTCTTAAAAATTGATATTAAAACGATAAACGATGCTGGAATTCTTGACCTGAGGATCTTTAGTGTTTGAACAAATCCACAGATTACACTGAAGGCAAATTAAGACTTCAGTTTTGGTTGTTCCAACTTCTCTGTGAGGGCGTATACTCCATTAAAGCTCAGGCTTACAGCCACACTGTTCCTTTTGCAGAGAATCATCAAGTTTTACAGGTGAAAATGCAGCCAACCAGTGGCCGAACAGCCCAATTAGCCATATTCACTGGCTCTCATTCACACCGAGGCCATCTCTTGGTAATGACCTCCATGGGAAGAATCTTTAGTGAGCAGCAACCAATCCACTCAAACACTTTCCCTTGTGCTTTATGTCTGACTTCTTGTGCCTACCTCAGCAATCCCCAACGTAAAATTGCTTTTGTTTTGGAAAGAATTTTCTTTGCCAGCTTTTAAACTACTTTAGTAATGGATTCTAGTTCAAGCGTTGATATCTGAATTCATTTGCATCCCGGAAAACAATTCTGCAAAGACATGGGCCGGGACCAGGTTCCATGCAAAACCATTTTTTTTTTTTTTTAAATAGATCCAGTTTGTTTCTGCATTCACCAATGCCTTCCTGAATTCTTATTCTGCCCTGTCCATGATTGTGTAAAGTTGCATTCCTTTTCATCAACCTGTACCCTCAGGAACTGGGTAACTGCAAAGGCCTCTTCCTTCTCAAGAATTCCATGAAGATCTAGATCCAAAATGCTGATTTCAATGGCGGTGAGGAGACAGACACTACGATGGCGAGGCCTGCGGAGGGGTTTTTAAGATTACCCAGGAACACCACAAACTCGACTAGCCTCGATGGGTGGGTCTGGGTAGATTAGATGCGTTTTGGGGCCCAGACGTTGGAAGGAAGGCCTGTCCCATCCAGGATACGGAACCTTGCTGGGGAGGTGGGGTGGGGTGGAGAACAGAAGCTGAGATTCTCGCATAGGTGGGGGGACGCTCTGCCCTCTCTCTCTTCGCAGGTTGCTGCCGGTCTCGGGGAAGTTTACTGCGTGTCTAATTGTCCGTTACGGTTTCGTAGAATTACTTCTTTTAACTCTAGCGTTGTCTTACTGTGAGCCCCCTCTGCACTGGCTCACGGAGGTGAGAGCAGGCCGGGGGCGGGGGGCCCTCTGGCCGAGGGGGGGTGGCCCTCTCAGTCCTCATCCACCTCCTCCCCATCCGAGTCGTCCCCGGCGGCCCCGGCGCGACGCTCATAGAGCTTGTCCCGCTGTCGCTCTTGGATCTCCTTCATCTCCTCGGCGTAGCGACAGAAGGCGCCTCCAAACTTGCCCCAGGCCTTGAGTGGCACGGTGATGGCGTTGCGGTAGGAAGGCTTCACCTCGCTCACTCGCAGAAACACCCCATACTTGTTGCAACCCACGTCGAAGAAGAAGCGCTTTGAGTCCACCGTGATGGACGTACCCTCGGGCAGCTGCTCCCCATATAGCCCAGCTCCGGGGCCTCCCGCGCCGGACCCGGGCCCACCGCCCAGCTCGTCATCGTCACCACCGTAATCATCCAGCAGCTTGGCCAGGGCGTCACGGAACTCGATCAGGCCCTGGGCGGGCAGTGCGATGGTCTGGCCGCTCTGCAGGCCGCCAGGCCCGGGGCCACCCGCACCGAAGCCCCCGCCGCCGCCGCGGTTGACTGTCTGGCGGATGCGCAGAAAGCGACCACGCTGGTTCTCCTTGAGGTCCAGGTAGTACTTGCGGTTCTCGCGCACCAGGAACTCGCTCTTGAGCGCGCGCCGTGGCCCGCCGCCTTCCTCGGCGCCCGCCGCCAGCTGCTCAGGGCTGCTGGGCCCCAGCTGCGCGTAGTGCTCGATGAAGTCGCCCAGCGAGTCGCGGAACTCGGCGGCCACCGCCATGGACAGCGTCAGGCGGCTTTTGGAGCCGCCAGCGCCCACCTCAGCGATCTTCAGGAAGCGGCCTTTGGCGTTCTGCTTCACGTCCAGGTAGAAACGCTTATTCTGGATATCCAGCCGCTTAGACGCCAGCTCCTGCGTCTCCTGCTCGCCGCCACTATTGCGGGGAGCCGGCTGGAAGCTACCAGGCCCCCCTCCTCCACCGCCGCCACCGCCGCCACTGCTACTGCCACCACCACCACCGCCGCCGCCACTGCCGCCGCGCTCGCTCCCACTGTCGCCGTCCGCCATCTTCTCGGCCGCCGCCTCGCCGCCGCCCGCTGCGCTCACGCCCCCGCCCTCCGCCCTGCGGCTCGCGCTCCGGGGCCCCCCCAGCCTCGCCCCGCAGGCTCCTCACGCGCTCCCGCCGCTCATCGCCCGGCTACCACCACCGCCGCCGCCGTCGCCGCCGCCGCCGCCCCCCATCGCCTCCGGGCTCCGCCCCCGCGGCTTCCGCGCAAGTTCGGCCCGCTTCCGGCGCGCGGCTTCCGGTGACGTCACCGCGCCCTCTCTCCTTCCCGCCGCCCCTCCCACCCTTTCCCCTTTCCCTATGGCCTCGTTGTGGCCTGGCGGCCGGAAGAGCTACTAGCCACGGCGACGGCGCGGGCGCGCAGCGGTGACGTCACGGGCCGCGCCCGGTGCGCGCGCTCGCGCTGTGGATATACTCTACTCTCCTCGATGTAACTGGGCACCTCTGAATTCTCGTTGCTTTTTTTTTGTACCCTTAGGTGGTGGCCACGTCTCTCTGTCTTCCCAGGCTGGGAGTTGGGGGACACAGCCCCAGCCTTCGGGGTGAAGGGTATGGGGGAGCACCCGGAAGTGGCTGCGCGGCTCACAGGAAGGAGGAGTTGAGACTGATTTGGGAAGAGTTCTCCCGGCCGGCGGGATGGCAGTGCCCAGGGAGGGGACCCCGAGTCCGGCCCTGGGAGCTCGTAGCAGCCCGGGCTTGGCGGGGCGAGGGGGGTTCGGTCCCTGAGGATTGGTCAATGTGGCAGCGGAGGGTGGGCTAGGTCAAGGGCATGCTCTGACATGCTCACCCCACTCTGGAGCCATCAGTTGTGATCAGATGCACGTTTTGGAATGAACATTTGTGAGTAGATGGGTTGCAGAGGATTGAGAAGTAATCCCTAGCTCAGTTAGCAAGCTCTTGCTGTCTCCCCACCTGCTAGCGCCATGTCAAAGGGTTAAGTGAGACTGCAAACTTTTAGCTTATCATTAGCACGTGAATAAGTCCTCTGAGGACTTTTCCTTGTGAGCATTGAGGTGTAATGAGAGGCTATGTTGGAGTCGCATTAAGAAGTGTAGCTACTGAATCCTTACTATCTGGATGTGAAGCTATGCGACATTAACCGGTTATTAATTTTCCCAAGCCAAAGTTTCATAATTCTTTAATGCAGTTACTAGTAGATAATAAATCTTAACAAAGGGCTGTGTCCAGAATACATAAAAGACACTTAAAACTCGACAAGACAACACAATATTAAACGAGCAAAAGATTTTTAAACTGGCACTCGAAGAATGAACCCCCTTTTAAGCCATTATCTTCAGAGAGTCACTGGGGATTTTCCTCTCCAGCGACCTTGCCGGGACTTCTGCTACCCTCCTGTAACTACCCCTAGTCTGTAAGCAACACTGAGCTCTAGCTCTTTTGCTGGAGACCTTTTCTTCAGGTTTCTTTTTCCCAATAAAGCCTATGCTGACGTCGAGCCTTCTCCCACCTAGCCTTCCATGCCTTTTTTCAGTCTTAACATCTGGTGCCAAAACCCAGAATGGGGCTTCATCTCTGCTCTTATCTCTCTATGCCTCTTTCAGTCTAACTTCTCCATCTCCTCATCTGTCTTTCTGTGCATTTCAGTCTAATGTGATTTTTTTTCAGTCTAATATCTGGTGCCGAAACCTGGAACGGGTCCTGTAGGCTCGGTTCTCAGCCTCTGCTCTTGCAGTCTGGGAAGCAGTGGACAGTGGTTGCTCTTCCCAGGCTCACTCTCAGACCCTGAGACCCTGAGCAGACACTAGAGTCCTCCTACCCCCTTCCCTGCTGCTCCTCTCTCCCTTTACACTACTTGATCTTTGCTATACTTCTTTCTTTTGATGGCACCCCATCTCTGGACCCTCCATTCAGCCTTCAATTTTGGTGAATTTTTCCTTTTTCTGAATTTTTTTCACTGACTGTCAGAGTCCAGGACTCCACTTCTTCTCCTCCTCCTCCTCCTCCTCCTCCCCTCCCCCCTCCTCCTCCTTTCTTCCTTCTTTCTTTCTTCTTTTTGTGATACTGGGGCTTGAACTCAAGACCTACATCCTGAGGTCACCCCACCAGCCCTTTTTTGTATGTGTGTGTTCAGTATTTTCGAGATAGGGTCTTGTGAACTGTTTCCCCTAGGCTGGCTTTGGACCATGATCTTCTGATCTCTTCCTCCTGAGTACCTAGGATTACGGGCTCATGAGCCACTGGCACCTGGTCAGGAGTCCACTTTTGAAGCCCTGGATGCTTAGAAAAAAATTCTAGTGCACTGCCTTAGCATAGACTATCAGTTGGTAGTGAAGACGTTCCTGCCCTCTGACACATCTGTTCTACCAGGCAGGATCACTGTGGGGATTACTCACTGCCTTTTCCACAAAAAGGGGCCAGAAATCTTCCAAGCCCTCAAGGGGCAGTCCATTAGCACATCTCCTCCAAAACCTTCAGACTCTGGGGCTCATGAAGACCATTAAACCCAAATGGCTGATTTTCTACCATAACACAATTTGGCTCCAATATAAACTGGACAAGGATAGCCATTGGTCTGAACAGGGCACTTTTTATTTCCCAACTCAGCACAATCTTGAAAATTGTCTCCAATGCCATGGCAAATGGTCTCAGGTCCCATACATACAGGCTGTCACTTATCTCCTCTCAAAACCTTCCCTTTGTCAGTCTTTTAAGTCCTTCCAGCTCCTCCTTCTAAATGTAAAACCCTCTAATGCCAAATCACCAAATAAGCCTTCCCTTGAACAGTTTGTTGCTGATTTTGACCCCACAGAGAAGACGTCTTTGCCTGGCTCCCCCTCCTCCAGCCAAGGATCCCCTCTGCTCCTCCACCCTATCCCCATCCCCCCCATCTCTCTGTCACCCTCACACATGTGATCCCATTCCCTGTATCCTCCTCTTCAGATCTAGCCACTGTCCTCCCACTCCCTGAGGTGGCAGGGATGGAGGCCTCATTGCATTCATGTTCCTTTCTCCTCTGACTTATCACAAATTGAAAAGCATGTTGGCTCCTTTGTGTTGGATCCCACCACATACTGGAATTCCTCTATGTAACTCAGTCCTATGATCTGACCTGGCAAGACATGTATGCCAGTCCTCTCCTCCACCCTCTCCCCTGAGGATAGGGACTGTATCTGGGCAGTGGCTCAAGCCCAGGCAGGCACACTCCATCAACAGGATGCTAACCATAACCCTATCATGACCTCAGAGAAGATCCTCACTGAAACTATCAGGCGGGTTCCCAGGATCTAAGATGAAGGGGGCAAATGATAACTTGTGTCCTGGCAGGGATAACCAAGTTCGCTCTAAAGGCGGTCAGCTATGAAAAGATAAGGAAATTACTCAGGGGCTAGATGAAAACCTCTCTTTTATCGCACTTAACAGGGGCAATGATTAAATACACCCACTTAACTCCTGAGACTAATGAAGGCTGCATTTACCTCCATCTTCATTTTATCTCCCGGTCCACCCGGGACTTCCAAAAACAACTCCAAAGATTAGAGGATAACCAGAAACATGTCAAGCGCCCCTTGTAAGGGCTGCCACAAAAGTTTGTAACAATAGAGAGGAAGAACAGAAAACCCAAAAACTCAGAAGACATCAGACCAAATCCCTGATGTTGGCAGAAGCTATTCAAAAGGGGCTCCAGAGGGGCCCATAGAATGCACCTGTACTTACACCAACGAGGGGCAAAAGTCTCCCCTGGGGCCCTGTTGCAAATATGGCCAACCTGGCCACTGGGTAAGTGCTTGCCCCAACCCCCTCATGGCTTTGTACTTTATGTGGTCAAATGGGGCACTGGAGATCAGACTGTCCACAGTGGGACTCAGCACCTGCCCAAAGATAGCTGGTGCTCACCAGTCACTCACCTCTGACCCAGGACTTGTGGAACTTCTAGCCCTGGCGACAGAAGACTGAGAGGACCCAGGTGCCACTGTCCCCAACAAGATCATCGCTGCCTCAGAGCCCAAGGTAGCTGTCCATATCAGGAAGGCAGATCTCTTTGCTTGTGGGCATGGGGCTACTTACTCGGTTTTACTGGAAAGGGACCCCTAGTCCCTTCTTCCCTCTCTGCTGTTTCGGTTGATGGCAAGCCCTTTACTCAGCTCCACATAGACCTCCTTCTTTGTACTCTGACAGTTGGTGTTTTTTTTTTTTGTGGTACTGGGACTTGAACTCAGAGCCTACACATTGGGCCACTCCACCAGCTCTTTTTTTGTGATGGGTTTTTTGAGGTAGGGTCTCACGAACTATTTGAGGCTGGCTTTGAACTGCGATCCTCCTGATCTCTGCCTCCTGTGTAGCTACTATTATAGAAGTGAGCCACTGGCACCTGGTTGACACCCAGTTTTCACACTCATTTTTGGTCATTCCTCAACGTTCCACTCCACTTATCGGCAGGGACAGCCTCAAGTTTAATGACTCCCAGCTGGATCCTGGTGGCTCACACCTGTAATCCTAGCTACTCAGGAGGTGGAGATCTGGAGGATCGTGGTTCCAAGCCAGCCTGGGCAAATAGTTCGTAAGACTGTATCCCAAAAAACCCATCACAAAAAAAGGGCTGGTGGAGTGGCTCAAGGTGTAGGCACTGAGTTCAAGTCCCAGTACTGCAAAAAAAAATTAAATGACTCCCTACACTTTAATAGTCCCCCACAAACACTTCTAGCCCTCTGTTGCCCAGATGCTGTCCCTCCTCAACAGACCCATCTCCCACTGACTACACATCCTTATTTCCTCTTGTCAATCCCCAAGTATGGGGCACCACCAAAGACCTCAGACCTATACATCTGACAAACCCAATAGTCCTTGGGATTAGGACAACAAGATCTAAAATCCATCATCTTTGTCCTCCTCTGGGCGGGGATCCTCAGACGCACTGACTCCTCATATAATACTCCTACCTTAGCAGTAAAAAAGGAACCCAACAGCTACCACTTAGGCCAAGGTCTCTGTCTCATTAGTCAGGTGGTGGTCTCCATATACTTCCCAACCCCTATCCCCTTCT